GGGATTTAGTTAACTACTGTATAATAACCTTGATCAGGCATGGCAACAAAAACTATGTTACATATGTAAGAAAAGTGTGGGTAACTTTGAATGCAATGTAGATCACTTCCATTGTAAATAATAATAGGGCAAGTCCTTTCTATTCTGCATTTGCATATGTTGTTTTTATTGGGGTTTTTAACATTAACATTTTTTTCTGTGTTGATAGGCAGCAGGAGTGGATAAACCAGCAGAGGGAAGAGATCGAGAGGCAGCGGAAACTTCTAGCGAAGCGCAAACCTCCCAGCACACCCTTCTCCCAGAGCCCAACCCCCAATGAGTCCAAACAGAGAAAGACCAAAGCCGTCAATGGAGCCGACAACGACCCGTTCCTCAAACCCAGCCTGCCTACACTGTGAGACACTAACACACACACACAGACACAAATACATTTGTTTACTTCCTTTCCAAATGGAGACTTCCCGTTGACTTCTAATGGTATTAAAATGAGACAATTAGGATTAATATAGACCAGGGCTGCACAATTCATTATTTTAAGATCGTTATATAAGGATGTGTGATCTATAGAACACCAAAGGCTGCGATTTAAATAAGTATTTTCTTCAATATTCTCTTCAAAAATGGTTCAGAAACACATGCTGTTATTGAAATGCTTCTGTATTGAATGTGCAGGCTGACTTTGACGGAGTATCACGAGCAGGAAGAAATCTTCAAACTGAGACTGGGTCATCTCAAAAAGGTTAGTCTCTATATAAACACACAATACACACACTCTTATGTGCATTAGGGTAAGATGGGTAAAAGGGAGTAACGTGGAGCATTAGTGCTTCATGCATAAGCAGTCGTGCAGGAATGCGGTTTCAAGTAGTGGACTTTTTGTCCTTTTCGTGGAATCTGCCATTCATACATGAGTATGTTAGTATGTGCTCACGTGTGTGTGTGTGTGTGTGTGTTCAGGAGGAAGCAGAGATCCAGGTAGAGTTGGAGCGGTTGGAGCGTGTGAGGAATCTGCACATTCGAGAACTTAAAAGAATCAACAATGAGGACAGTTCTCAGTAAGTCCCGCCCACTTCAGATTATATTTCAATTAGTGCTGAGCAACGATTAATAGTGGTTAATCCCATTCAAATTTTTGTGTACATAATATATGTGTGTGTGTGTGTACTGTGTATCTTTATAATGTGTATATATAAATGCACACACATGCATGTATATATTTAAGAAAAATGTGTTATGTTTATATATTAAATATATTTATATATAATATAAATTATATGAATATAAATATATACATGTAAATATTTTCAAAATATATAATGTATGTGTGTCTTTTTATATATACATAATAAATATACACAGTACATACACATTTATTATATAAACAAATTTTTTTATTTTGGGTGCGATTAATCATTGCCCAGCACTAATTTAAATATTCAAATCTTAAATATGGTTTTGTGAAATTCTTAAAAGGCATTCAGCGATAAACTGTAATTGGAAAACATTGAGTATTTTAACTATGTTGATGTTTTCTTCTTTCTTTTTTTCTCTCTTCCTTTAGTTTTCTTTTATATATTTAAGAAAAATGTGTTATGTTTATATATTAAATATATTTATATATAATATAAATTATATGAATATAAATATATACATGTAAATATTTTCAAAATATATAATGTATGTGTGTCTTTTTATATATACATAATAAATATACACAGTACATACACATTTATTATATAAACAAATTTTTTTATTTTGGGTGCGATTAATCATTGCCCAGCACTAATTTAAATATTCAAATCTTAAATATGGTTTTGTGAAATTCTTAAAAGGCATTCAGCGATAAACTGTAATTGGAAAACATTGAGTATTTTAACTATGTTGATGTTTTCTTCTTTCTTTTTTTCTCTCTTCCTTTAGTTTTCTTTGCTGTTTGCTACATTATGCTTCTTTTGAAATGGAATAATCGCACTCTATTTGTGTTTGTGCTTATAGGTTTAAAGACCATCCAACCCTAAATGAAAGGTATCTTCTCTTACACTTATTGGGAAGAGGAGGTTTCAGTGAAGTTTATAAGGTATTTTATTTATTATATATATATATATATATATATATATATATATTTTGTATATACATTTTTTATTGACATTAAAGTAACAGAACAGTACAAAAAAAACAACAACAGCTAGTAAGACAAAAAAGGGATGATTTTACAGCTGTTGTTGAATTACATCTGTTCCTGCAGTTTTATACACATGATGACAATGTTACACGTATATTTCTAGGCCAGTGGGGACAGGCAATAATGGTGACCATGCAAAGAAAAGGGTCAAACCTTTAAACTGTTATCCTAGACATTCGATAGATGAGGCTATCGAAGCCAGAAATGCTACCGGAAAGGTTGCTTACACAATATTTTAGATAATATACACAATATAATGACACTATTTTATTACTGTTTTTACAGCCTTGGTGAGTGTAGGAGACTTTTCAAAAACAATAATTTTGGGAGAAGAGAGTCATAGAAAGACCCCAAACTTTTTTACATTAGTGCATGTTAAAGGCATTTTAACAACCCATTTTACGTCTGTAAAGTGACGTATTTCCGAGTGAAATTGAATGAGAAACATGTAGAACCGAACTTTTATCAGACATTTATTGGATGATGAAACTGTCTATTGCATACAGTTGTTTCAAAGGTGGATCAAGTTATATTTTGATAAAACATTAGCAAGACTTTTTTTCTTTATAATAAAGTTCATATTTTGAATCAGCATGTAAGAAATGTGTTTATAAGGGCAAAACAGATTACATCTTTAACCATGGTAAAATAACACGCAGGCTCTTATCAAACAGCATATCATAAAAGACACACATTTTTTTAGTTATAATATAAAACCTGTTTTATAGTACTATAAAAAAAGGACATCTTACAAAATGTATACAGACAGCCATAGAGATCAGCTATTAACCTGGGCTTATATTTCAGGGAGTTTATTTTGGGAGAAATTGTGGCTTGTTTAACTTGTTTTATGTTGCTGTGTGAAGGCATTTGACCTGTTTGAGCAGCGATATGCTGCTGTGAAGATCCACCAGCTCAACAAGAACTGGAGAGAGGAGAAGAAGGAGAACTACCACAAGTATGTTGGCCATCTTTTTTCCCTTTCTGTCTCTCACACTTTCTTTTATGGACGTGCTCATTTGTTGTTTTGTCCGCTCCAGACATGCCTGTAGGGAATATAGAATCCACAAGCAACTGGACCATCCCAGAATAGTCAAACTCTACGACTACTTTTCCCTGGACACTGACACGTAAGTCTCTGTTACTCGTTCTGCTAAACCAGTTCTAGTTTTTGCAACCGTACAGATATTGACTTAATGTGTTTCTGTTCTAGATTCTGCACTGTTCTCGAGTTCTGTGAGGGGAATGATCTCGATTTCTATCTGAAACAACACAAGCTGATGTCTGAGAAAGAGGCTCGCTCCATCGTCATGCAGATAGTCAACGCCCTCCGATACCTCAATGAGATCAAACCGCCCATCATCCACTACGACCTGAAACCAGGTGAATGCAACACACACGATAAAGGAATAGTTCACCTAAAAATAAACACAATTTTTTTTGAAAATTTACTCAACCTTTGAAGATAAGTTGCAGATGAGTTTGCAGATTGCATTCCATCACTTGCTCACCAGTGGATGCTCTGCAGTGAATGGG